TTCAAGATAGTAAATGGGCTGTTCATTATGCTTTGTTGAAAGATTTACATGCTTCAACAAATTGTATAATCTGAGTACAGAATCTGCTATAGTAATTAAAATCTAACTACTTTGTAGCATGATACCCAACACTCAGGCTGTGTTCAAATAAACTTTGTCTTTATTTCATTGACTTCTTTCAAGAATAATTTATTATTTTTGCTTTAAAGATTTACATTTACTGGCTTTTGGGGGAGGGTGGGGTGAGAGGATCCCATTTATATTATATACAGTACCGGTACATTAAAAAAATATTATTTTAAGACTTTAATATTTATTTGTAATAAAACTAATATAGAACAAGGGAAAATTCTACTGGAAACTAGATGTCAGATTCTGAGCCGAAATTTATTGTGTTGATATTTTGAGGCATTTGGCCAGTTGGATGTGGGCCATCTCTGGTCCAGATATGGCAAACTTTTCGCATAATATTATTTTTTCAAATGTTTTGAATATAAATCAAAAAATTTAAAACTGTTAAACAAACTGACAAGATATTCGATACCAGTTACAAAAATAAGTTTAATTCATCAGTAGTGAGCCAATAGTTGCCAAGTGTTAGCCAGGTATGGCCCACATCTGGCAACATCTGGCTGGATATGGGCCACATCCAGCCAGATGCTGCCAGACGTGGGCCATACTTGGGCCAAAGCTGAGTGGCTGTCTGGGTATATGCTAAAATGACGCTAGAAACCATAAAGAAAGACCTGCAATAAGCAGATTTAGCTCTCGATGTCAACGCTAGCCTGTGATATTTGCTGGATTAGGATTCGAATTGTTGCTCAAACTTCATTCATGAATTAATCATGAAATGGATAATCGAGACTATGTTTTTATCGGACCAACATTAGTAATGATGATCGAGGCTAGGTCGAAAATTCAATCGGTAAAATCTCGGTTCAGAGTGGATCAATTATTTGACTGAAATTTTCAGGAAATTCCCTTTATATTATCTAGTTTTTAAGAATGAGTTCGCGAGAGAATCATGCAAAATTTAAAAAAAACCGGCACAAGCGGTGTCGGGCGATTTTGACCACACTTGGCAGATTTGGTCATTGGGTACCCCGTAAACCCCACATGAAATATGAGGGTCACCAACCTTGTAGTTACGGAGAATCAGCTATGGCCATTTTAGAGTTAAAAAAACGTCATTTTTAAAAAAAAAAAAACAACCCTAAATTCAAATATTCCCATAAATTGTCTATTGATTTTTTATTTTTTTTAAATTATTTTTTATGAATGATCATGTCTATTACTTCAATATATATGACTATTAAATTTTTCCAAAACCATTTGAGGCTATGAGGAATTTATTTTGAGACGTAGTTTTTGCTATATGCTAAAACATAAATTTCATGATGCCATATCTCACCCACCGCGGGGCTGAGACAATTCTATTAATAATGGAAGTTGAGGACTACTAATACTAATATTTGGTTTTGACAAAATGACTGGCACGGATTTCTTTCATATTAAATTTGATGGTCGAACTTGAAGAAAATGACTTCATTTTTTACATCATTTTTCCAATAAAATCATTCATTGCCTGGATTATTAGGCCTGATAATACCCCGTGCATCCGCCTTCCAGCAACCCTGTGTAGGGCCGGTACAGATGATTCGGGAGTTCCACAAGGATCAGTCCTTGGACCTGTCCTTTCTATAATGTATACTAAGAATTTGGGACAACTACTCGACAATCATGGTTCCTAGGATGACATTCTTATACAGATGATACACAGCTGATCGCAAGTTATTCCCTTTCAAAAACTGTTTCATTCCCTAATTATTTTGACATTAAATTGTGTACACATGACATTAAAGATAGGATGACAAGACATATGTTGAAATTAAATTTAATTGAATTAAGTAAATCAGAATGTATTTTATGTGGTCAAAATACACATCTGAAAAATACAAGTTCAAATGATGTGGTAGTACGAGATGCAATATTTGTACCATGAGACACTGTGAATTTGATCCAGGAACATTGGCCATGTAAACATTTTATTAGCCAGGAAGCAGCTGCTACACTTATATGTTCATTGGTATTCCCAAGGATTGGCTACTGTAACAGCTAGCTAGTAGAAACATCTAGTGCCAATATTAAAAAAAATCAACTTGTAGAAAATACCGCAGCTCGCATTCTTACCAGATCATCAAAACACTCTCATATTACTCTGAAATCAATCTATTGGCTGCCAATCATCTTCAAAGGTCTGTCTTTGACGTATCAGTGTGTGAATGGCTTAGCTCAAATACTAACTTTATGCACATACAAGTTCCCTCGAGTAACCTCCGGCTGAACACACATTCATCAACCTTGTTGCTCAAGGTGGAAATTAATATCATTTAGATACGGATCGTGCACAGTGAATGCGCCTAAACTGCGTAACAATCTTCCACAGATCATTAAATCATCTCAAACCCTTTCTTGTTTTACATCAAGACTTATCAAGATTAATTAAATTAATTTAATTGTATGCGCAGTGGACATGCTTCTGTACATGGAGTATGTGTGCTATATAAATGTACACATTAATATTATTATTATTATTATTATTATAGGTCAGGCCGAAGTTAGATTTGCACTCCAGCCTCCAAGATGGCGGATGAAATCAGTTGTTCATTTTACCGTCTTTTGCACAACTAAAATGCGGTTTAGTAGCCAGTTATCGGAAAGAAACTATAATAGCATATTCCTGAAGCAAAAGCCAGAGAAATGCCGCTCTGGCCATTGCTGGATTGACTTCTGATACTTACGTTTTTGAGGGAATGTGTCTATTCTTCCCGTTCAATCAAATCGCTCCTAAGTAAAGTCTTTCGTTTAATCTGGGGTCTTCCCTAAAACTTTGGACAGTGATATAAGGTATTAAAAACGGTGAAAGCATTGTTCGTCTCCAAACAGTATTGTTTACATTGTAGACATGTTGATAGCCTCGTTTGTCACGCAATTAGTTTTTCTGCAATATTCTGCTATGCACTGGTTAATAGTTCGTAATAAATTTCGTGAATCATGACGTAACGTTATGTTAACATATTTGAAACTCTGTTTAAACCAGAATGATATTGTTACGCAGTTAGGTATTGGTTGTTAATCGGACAATTGACCAGTCATAATTTGGAACAGAAATTTGCTTTCATTACGGCAGTGTTGAGTGGGATTAGGTCTAATCAAACGAAACACTGCGGGGAGTATGCTAAAATAGTGACCTTACGCTCATAAAGAATTTGTTTTTTGTCTTTTTGAAATATCGCTCGATTCGTTTCTCAAGTATAGACAGATGTATATGACTAGTACACTATTTAGTTTTTATGATTTGCTATTCAAAAATTCATCATCCTTCTACTAGATCATGAGGTTATATTGCCAAATTAATAAAATGTTGACAAATTGTCTAGATAAATTAATTGTATTTACCATTTACAGTAAATTAAGCTTTTCAAACTTCATCGTTTGAAAATTTTAACGGTGTAATTTTGAGCTCAGTTTTCGTGATTAGATACTTATTGGATAGATAGATAAATAGATAGATAGATAGCGCTAGCTAGATAGATAGATAGATGGATTGGAATATATATTTGTGGTTTTGATAATGGAACATTTTTTAAACTTGAATTTTTTGATGAAAGTATATAATCTGCGTTTATATTTATTTGTTTATTTCTATTTTTATTATGGCTTGCTCTTAATGGGCCTGGAAACCACGTTAATTTGGTTTCAAGTGCCATGTTACACTTTTCAGTGTGTAAATAAAGCGGTTTATTTTTCGTCATTTTTGTTGAAAATCGTTATTTTTGTACAAAAATGGAAATTATTTACTACTAAACGGGTCGAGTGCCACCCAATTTTTTTCTTGATCTTAATACTATAGATCATTGCCTTTTCAGTCAGCATTCCAAAAAAATACTTAAACCCGCAGTTGGTGAGATATAGATAGAATAAAATGACATACATAAATTGAGCTATTTTGGAACCTTGCAGCAATAAGTCCCTATACCAAAAACCGCTCCATGAAAATCCACCAAACTTTCAGAATGTATACTCACTTACCATATCTGCTACGCTATAAAGTTTCATTAATCTACTCGCCGTAGTTTAGTTGTTCGATATAATTGAAAAGTAGCCTGAAAATGATGATTTTTTGGCTTTTTTCGGCCTTAAAATTTCATTTTTTTTTCTACGCTCTAAAAATGGTTCGATTGATCTAAAATTGTGGCAGTGGGGTTTGGAAGGGTTACCCATCATACATAAAAAAAATGGTGAAAATCGGTCACCCACCATGTGCCGGTCCCTGCATGGTTCTCTCGCAAACGCATTCTTAACTATTATAACTGTCAGCTCTTTATGTAATCTCCTATAATGTATCTTTAATGTCTTGCACCATTAAACGACACATAATGTATGCTTGACAATTCGCTCTCCGTGGCTTCTGTTCGTATGGCATATGTCTGGTAAATGTTCGGGCACCGCGGTTTCTCAAAGCATCAGACTTATTAAGTCAATCATAGTTCATGAGAAATATCTTTGATCCAGAAACACAAAACTTTGCACATAGTTTCTTATTGGTACATTTGATACATTAAAACAACAAAAGTTTTATAAAGCGCTATATTTTAGTTAAAATAAGGCGAATGGTTTTGAGTAATTCTTAACTTGAGCCTTGGAATGTTTTGTTAAACCGGGCCCGCGGGCCTGGTCATTTTAGGCCCTATACACACAACTCGCTGTAGATAGCATCATTGTAGCTAGATGACCATAATAATACTTACAAAGGGAGGTTCGCATGAGTTGTTTTAGGGATTTGGAGGAACGCAATAGCGCACAGTTTTAATTTAACAATCAAATTTGAACATGGGTGAAAAAAAAAATGATGATAAACGATATTTGAATTAGTGCGTTTTTTCTTCGAATTACATTAATTATAAACTATTCCAAAATTTTAATCAGCCATCGACTGATATATTCGACTGGAGTCAGTTCTTAACGAGAAACTACGATAAATAGCGAGACTATCAACAAACAACGTGAGTCAACATGGCTGGAACGATGACTGCATTGACTGTTGGGGGGGACAGAACTACCGGACAATCTGTCAGAACACAAAATGGTAAGGATCAACTAGGCTGAGTGAATGCATAAATGTATATTAAAACTTTTTATCCAAAAGTTTTGCGTTAAGCATGTCTAAAACATGATAAGTAGCGAGTTTGAATACAGTATTTCACGTCAAAAAACGAAAGACACACGTGCTTTCTTTCTCATTCTGGAATATTCTGCATGTTGTTTCCTTTCGCAACATTTTCAGAACCATAGTTAACGGATCATTCAGTTTGAGATTACCATAGGCTATTTCTTCCAGGGAATGTTAAATGTAGCTAAATGATTTAGTAAATCTCTAACTCATAATCTAAAATCTTTTACATTAAAAAATCATTCAATTTGAGATTACCCATAGACTCTTTCTTCCAGGGAATGTTAAATGTAGCTAGGCCTAAATGATTTAGTAAATCTCTAACTCATAATCTAAAATTTTCACATTAAAAACACAAATCGGAATATAATTTTTACTGTCTGAAGACTGAACCATCGTAAATTTTAAACGGATTTCTTCGATTGTGAATAAACTACTTAACTTTGGTTATTATAAACTTACCTGTGTGTTTGAAATCAACTCCTGTCCTGTTCTATAAAATCCATTGCACAACTAAATATCCCAATTAATATAAAAGTTCTCTCTGGCAAGTTGAAGTTTGACTATTTACTTGTAATTTCGACTGAGAGGAAAACAACAACGCTTTCGTTACATGTTGGGCTAAACCGATGCAGCTGTTGCAGGGGTGGTTTAATTTTGACAGATATTTTTACAATTATGAGTTGCAATAAAAACAAAGTGCGATCATTATGATCGTTTGAGTTTGGCCGACGAAAAATATAACTGAAGGCAATTACATAGGAGATTGATATTGAAACCATCAAGATCACCAGTCTATCAAATTTTATTCACAATGAAAATATGCCCGGGCAAAATTTCCCTTGTAGCACAATGTATGGTGTATGTCCGTCTTATTTAGCCCAGTCAGAGTAGGACGTTAAATAAACTTCATTTCATTTCTAACTTGATTATCAAGTTCGAAAAGCACAACAGATTCTGATAGGCCTATCAAGCCACTGCAAAATCTATCTAGATACCTTTAAATTTTTATAGCTTTCCCTGCCGCTTAAAATAATTCATTTGTTAACACTTTCAGTGTTGGCAGCATGTACAATTTCAAATATTGTCAAGAGTAGTTTGGGACCAGTTGGATTGGATAAAATGCTTGTCGATGATATTGGTGTAAGTATTTCATATAATTTTTTTCTCTAATGTATGTAAATAAAAGTGATGCTCAGGTACATGTATTAGACCAGTACGATTTTTTATATTTACGATCTCAAAGACCATTTTCTTTTTTTAACTAGACTTCCTCAAGTGTTATTTTGAAAATTTCTAAAGCTTATAATGATGAAAATAGTGCTAATAAAGCAAGTCTTGTCCTTGTCACATGATCTTTGACTGTCGATGCTATCTTCATGGTGGCACAATGTGTACGTGTAAGCTTATGACTGCTGAGTGGCATAGTAGATTCTGTTGGGCTTGTGTAAAAAAGACAAATCAACACAAATAGTAAAGTACATGTATCATCAAGTATTTCCATAGCCAAGGCCAGCCTAGGGATTGTAGAACATTGAATTGCTGTTGGTAAGTTATACTTACACCCCTTACTTCCATTGATTTTGCAGCCTCATTGATTTTATCATTAATTGTCTTGCAGGATGTGACTATTACCAATGATGGTGCCACTATATTGAAATTACTAGAAGTGGAACATCCTGCTGCCAAGGTTCTGGTAGAATTAGCAGACTTGCAGGATCAGGAAGTTGGTGATGGAACAACCAGTGTTGTATGTTTTTTATTCTTGACTCAAGTGATTTTGTAGAAATAAAAATGTCATCATATCAACAGAGAATAAACTTTAGATGGCCATAACTTAGGATTGATCGATAGTAATAATTACTAGAACAATGCAATTTTTAATAAGACATGTCATTTGCTTTTTTATCACATAAAATATTGAATTTTCAGGGTTTGATCTACGCTATAATGTAGTCATATGTGATTTCCAGTACTGGAAAATCCTGGAAAAATGAGAATGTGATTTACAGTACTGGAAAATCCTGGAAAAATTAACATTTGTAGTTTCGCTATATATTTTATAAATAAAACTGAACATAGTAATTGAATTCACAACGAATGTTTCTTCAAAGGTTCACAAGTTCATCGCCGTAAATGGACTTGTTTTCTGTATTTCATTCATAAAAGCCATAGTAAATCTATAGTAAAATGTTAACCAATCAGAATATATCTAGGTCAATCTACTTACCAATCAACTGTTCCGATTTTAAAATATTCATAGTTTGGGTATTACGGAAATTCCTAATCTCAGTTGAGAACAAGAAAAAATGTTGAAAGTTTATTTCAATACAGCGGGCTTGGCCACCCAGACTACAGCCACTTGTTGGCACGAGAATCCGTTCACTGGGCGAAGTGTAAGGTATGCCAGAGGAGTTTCAGCATTGGGAATATGGGCGAGAGTGCTGTGAGGAGTCAAGCAAAGGGAGCCAAACAAGCTGCTGCTGGCTTGTGTTGACTATATTGTCTACAGTGGATGACAAATGTTGACATATTTTCATATCTTTGTAAATTCTAAATGGAATTCAACCATTCTTGAACTAGTGATTCAGCGTTCACAATACTGTACTTTGAAAGTGATTCCTCATTCCTTTAGTAACAATGTTTATAATCATTTCAGGTTATAATTGCTGCAGAATTGTTGAAAAATGCTGATGAACTGGTCAAATCTAAAATACATCCTACCTCAATCATCAGTGGTTATAGACTCGCCTGCAAGTAAGTTCAGGCTGTAATTTCGATTTGCCATTTAATAACATTTCCAACATTTTGCTGATGTAGAAGACTGTTTTATTGTTGACTCAAGGAATGAAATAATGACTTCAGTTTTGATTGATGGTTAGGGTGAAAATATATAATATTTGATTGATTTTTGATGTGTTTCAGGGAAGCTGTTAAATATATACAGGAACACCTGACTATTAGTGTTGACGAATTGGGTCGTGATTGTATCATTAACGCAGCAAAGACAAGCATGTCCAGTAAGATCATTGGACCGTATCCTTGAATATTTAATAGAATACATATATCCTGGGTATGAATCTCGGTTTTGGGCCCAGATTTAGGATTTTTTATGTCCCAGCTTTGACAGGTCCGGTTGACTGGAGTGTTGCTTACTTATTCGGATAGAACAAAACACCCTTATCCATCCCCGTGAACACAAATGACATGCATGAAAAAGAAGCCATGTTGGCTGAAAAGTTAACAGAAACCTCTCTGTCCAGACAGCCTCCTTGGTGCACTGCACATTTAACTATTGAATAAAATATAATACATATTAATCTTGTGAAGTATTGTATCCATGAAACAGTAAACCTTGTTCCATAAGTATTTATTTGATATAACAGTTACTTATAAAAATATTGTATTATAACCTATAGCAAGTCCACAGAGTTTCAGTTCAATCATCAATCTCTATAAGCATAAGGTGCAAGTAGGATCGTGATTTAATCATGTAATTATATCAAATTTAGTTGACGCTTACCTCGAGACTTGAAATTCTCCCATTACGTCCATGAACACGCGTAGATCTGGGCAATATTTTGATATAAAACCCTCACAGAAATAAAAAACGTCAAAAATACCGTCGTCAGAAAAATATCCAAAAACCAAACATACCGCGATATATATTTTTCTGGATGATATTTAAAATAAATATTGAAAAAAAAGGTTTTCCTTTTTATGTTATTTACGATATTTTATTGCTTAATGATGAATAAATACTGTTATAAACTCCCGAGTATTCATTCCGTAAAGTTTGCAAATGCTGATAAGGAGCTTTGTTTACGTCATGTAACTTCCCGCTCCCTTTTCCACCCGTTAGAATTATTCCTGTTTCTGTTCAATTTCTGTACATCTTGACGAATTGTTTATACCGATACTTTGATTTTCCAAAGGAATCATTGATTTTCAGATTGAAATAAATTTTGATAAAGCAGAAATATAAATAATGCCAACTATTATATTGAGCGTTCCGGTAGACTGATTATCATTATCATTCAGCGTCTTGACGTGTCATGCATAGCAGTCTGCGATCCGAAAAAGCGCCATTTGACTAAATCGGGGGGCACTTTTTGACATAGTACATGTGTACTTATGTTTTATAGTTTAATCAAGAAGGTATATGCTTGAATGAGAAAAAACCCACCTTTCGAAGAAGGCAGGGGACTATTAAAATGGGTTAGTCTGTCTGTCTGTCCGTCACACTTTTGGGACACAATAACTCTCCTTCTAATTGGTGTAGGTATTTATTAGGTCAGTGCCTTGATGGAGTTCGAAGATGAGTATTTTCTGCTCAGGGTAAGCAATTTGATTGGTTGTTGCCTTGGGACACATAACTTTAGTTCTGATTAAGTGAGAGTGATGAAACTTGGTGTATGGTTTCATTACATCAATACCTTGACTAACTTCGATAATGAACATTTTCTGCTTAGGGTAAGCAGAACGGTAAGCAATTTTATTGACCGAGACTTTGGAACACAATAACTCTTTCAAATTGAGCTAGAATCTTCAAACTTGGTGTAGGTTTTATTAGGTCAATGCATTGATGGAGTTTGAAGATGAGCATTTTCTGCTTCGCCTTCGGGTAAGCAAGATAAGAAATTGGATTGGTTGATAAATTTAGTTCTAATTAAGTGAGAGTGATGAAATTTGGTGTATAGTTTTATTACATCAGTACCTTGACTAAGTTTGATAATTAGCAGGGTAAGCAGAGCGATAAGCAATTTGATTGGCTAAGACTTTGGAACACAATAACTCTCATTCTAATTTAGCTAGAATGTTCACACTTAGCGTAGATGTTTATTAGGTGAATGCCATGATGGAGATCGAAGATGAGAATTTTCTGGTTAGGGTAAGCAGAGATAAGCAATTTGATTGGTTGATGCTTTGGGACGTGATAACTTTAGTTCAAATTAAGTGAGAGTGAAGAAACTTAGTGTATAGTTTTATCACATCATTACCTTGACAAAGTTTGGTAATGAGCATTTTCTGTTCCGGGTAAGCAGAGCATTAAGCAATTTGATTGGTAGAGACTTTGGAACACAATAACTCTCCTAATTGAGCTAGAATGTTCAAACTTGCTGTAGGTTTTATTAGGTCAATACCTTGATGGGAGTTTGAAGATGAGCATTTTCTGCTTCGGGTAAGCAGAGATAAGCAATTTGATTGGTTGATAACTTTAGTTCTAATTAAGTGAGAGGTGAATGCCTTGATGGAGTTCGGTGATAAACATTGTTTGCTTACGGTAAGCAGAGATAAGCAATCTAGTTGTTGATGCTTTGGGGCCAATCTGATTAAAACACAGATCCAATTTCGTTTTGTTTTTATATACTATTCAAAAAAAGTAGGGGATATTTGATTTTTAAGTGTTATTAAAGTCACCTAATGAAACTGACGAAGAAACAAATGAAATGAAGTTCACATTCATCGATTTATTCCAAATGATCTTTAGACTAAGTAAGGCACAGACTGACCATTATAAGAGTAAAATGATACCCGGGGTCAAACAGCAAAGTTACCACAGCATCACAACCAAGTCAGTAACGGGTAAATCCTCCTCTGTTTGCCAAACAAGCATTGATCCGACGTGGCATACTCCTAATGAGACGTCTAAGGTCATTTTGGTCCAGATTGTCCCATTCCTGTTGCAACGCAGCAGCAAGTTCTTGGACATTGGCGGGACGTTGTTGACGTTGACGTAACCTCTGTCCAAGCATGTCCCAGACATGCTCGATGGGGGAGAGGTCGGGACTCGGTGTTGCCCAAGGTAATGTGGTGATGTTCTGTTGTTGGAGGTAACCTGTAACGATCCTGGCCCTGTGACATCTTGCGTTGTCATCCTGGAAGATGAAACGGCGGCCATGACGTCGTGCGAACGGCACAACATGGACTGCCAAGATGTTGTCCCGGTAGTACTGGCCTGTAACACGCCCTGCAACAACATGTAAAGCCGTTCTTCCAGCAACAGTGATGCCTCCCCACACCATAACAGAACCACCCCCAAATCGATCATGTCTGATGACGTTAACGTCTTGGAAGCGCTCGTTTCGACGACGCCACACCCTCCTACGTCTGTCCAAAAAATCAACAGTGAACCTTGACTCATCTGAAAACATCACATTGCTCCAGCGTCGATTATCCCAGTGTTGACGATCCCTACACCAACGACGTCTTGCCTGAATGTGATGATCTCTCAAACAAGGGATCACGCGAGGACGTCGGGCGCGAAGGTGACCCCTATGCAGTCGATTCCGAATCGTCTGGCCACTCACTCTCACACCAGTGTCTGTTTGAAGACGAGCGCTGATCTGATTTGCTGTGATGACACGATTTCTCAAGGCCAAGGTACGGATAAATCGATCCTGGGCTTGAGTTGTCGCCCTTGGTCGACCTGAGCGTGGTCTGTCCTGAACAGATTGTGTATCACGGTATCTGGACCATAGCCTGCTTATGACAGACTGAGAAACATTCATCGTCCGCGCCACAACCGCCTGTGTTGTGCCGATCTGTAGCATGCCAAGGGCATGTAACCTTTCATTTTGGGTAAGCCGACGCATATCAAAATTTGTTTTCTGGTCACTAAAACAATTAAACTGATGTTTCCACCCTTGAATTCAATGCCACAATGACTGTAACATTCAAAGTCAGAGTCGTGCAAATCTTGGGTTGGACCCCCATGATGATCCCAAGCATCACCTGCATTCCATGCGGTAGCTATTGGTGCGTTTGGGCGTCACATGTAACTGGAAATGTTTCTTCTGTTAGGTTCTATAGTGACTTTTTTCGTAGTCATTTGCATATTTTAGTATTATGCCCCCAAAATCAAATATCCCCTACTTTTTTTGAATAGTATAGTTCAAAATTTCGATTTTACTTGTCTTTACTGCACTTGGAGCTGGAAGCGTTGTTATTTAACTCGTGTTCTGCTTGAAATGAGGGGTCAGCCATTCAAATGGTCTGTCGTATCGAGCGTTTGACCTTTTTTGCGCGGAACTGTTGGTAGACATTAGCGGCAATAGAAATCAAAACAAAGCAAAAGTAGATAAAAAATACATGGCGGTCGCTAATTGGTTAATCGAATGACTGACGTAATCGGGTCAAATGTCGCTTGCTTGGTACCTGACGTCATAGAACGTGAACTCCCACTATAACTTGTTAGATCTACATGTAGTGTAGGCCATCAAAAGTATAAAAAACGAAACGAAATATAGATCTATATTTTAATTAGATTGCTTTGGGGCACGATAACTTTGGTTATAATTAAGTGAGAGTGATGAAACTCTCGAGTATAGATTCATCATATCATTACCTTTGAGTAAGTTTGATGAGAATTTTCTGCTTAGGCTAAGGAGCGATAAGCAATTTGATTGGTCAAGACTTTGGAACATAACAACTCTGCTTTTAATTGAGGTAGAATGTTTAAACTTGATGTAGATGTTCATTAGGTGAATGTCTTGACTGAGTTCAATGATTAACATTTCAAGCTAAAGCTAAGCCGAGCTAAGCTATTTCATTGGTCGATGCTTTGGGACAAGATAACTTTGATTCTATCTGATAGAGAGTGATGAAACTTAGTGTATAGTTGATAATCAGTTTGATTGCTTGATACTATTGAAAAAAGTAAATGTGCGATTAATTGATATGTGTCATCTATTTATTTTGGGATTTTGGCGGGGGATATCAGCCTCACTGTTGGCTTGTTTTAATTTAAATGAAAAATTATTATTAATATTTTGAAAATTAAAATTGTAATAAAACAACAACTTCAGCAAGTTTTCGTGGCTCTATAGATCTGTGCTTGAACCAGCTCATTAAATTTTGTTTGTAAATTCGGACCTGTAGGCTAAAAATAATATTGACTAGAAATAATAATATTGACTGGAAAGTGTCAAGTGAATACTCCAGGGGTATTTCTAAGTTTTTGTGCAAGTTTATTTACATTTAAATGGTAATAAACTGAATGTATTGGCATTTTATAAAATATCGCGATATAGTGATTATATCTGTTTCCAGGGATATCGCCCAGCTCTTAACACACTTATGTTAGATTTTGAAAATTTGAACATTTAAACAAGCATCTTCAATTTGTATGGGTGCATGTAGTAGAATGCTTGAGATTTGGAAACCAAGAAGAGTAGGCAGAAACACAGCTGTTAACCTAAAAAATAACAAGAATGAAAACCACTCTTATTAATGTGGTGGGGAAGGAAATATTCTTTGATCCTCAACAAAGTCCGACGAAATGTGGTCTGATCGTTGTTATTTCTACCTAATCAAATTATCCTTAATAGTTATTTAGTGAATGTGAATTTTTCTCCGCTATGGTCGTCGATGCTGCCAATGCTATTAAAACACCTGATGGTAAAGGAGGTTATCGTTATCCAATTAAAGCTGTCAATATACTAAAGGCTCATGGCAGAAGTTCTAAAGAGAGTACCCTGGTGCATGGATATGCCTTAAATTGTACAGTAGCATCACAAGGTAATGTTTCTTATGGTTGTTTGACTTTTGTAAATGGTAGATTTTTTCACAGTTCACAACTCTTCAGTGAAATTACGTAAAAATAGTCACCATGTACATGTTCTGTAAACAAAAGCCTTTTAACTTCGATGCAGTTTGAACACTAACCATTTTGGAACAAGCATGCATGGGTAGCTATCTTTAAATGCATCACTACTAATTAAAATTTGCTTTTTCAATGTTTCATTGTCGGATGTCATTTGTCAATTAAACAAATTGTTTTCCCAGTTTTTGAAGAAAACTAGGGACTATTAAAATAACTTTGTTTTTAATTCAATGAGAATGGTGAAACTTAGTCTAAATCTTCAGTACCATACCTTGACTAAGTTTCGATAATTAGAATTTTTGAAATAGATGACACTTATTATTAATTATGATTAAGACTCAACCATAAGCTGTCTGGGGTTTCTAAGTGTATCACTATTCACATATTGAGGCCACACAAAAAAAATATTCTGGTTCTAATACCGCCACATCATCAAAAATGGGATGCATCACCAGTTTTTATTTTTAAAAAGATATGAATTAAAAACGAAGTTAATAATTTCTTTTTATGAACATAATGCCTTTTCCAGTGGACTATTTTATCTTTCCCACGAAAATGACTGTGACAGAGATGACCGAAAGTATTTGGGAGCGCAGACTTCGATCTTGCTTTGACAATGAGTACCACATAATGGTTGCCAATAGAAAAACCAGTGGATTCAAAAACATTTTTGCAGGAGTTAATCTGGATGAAATTACGGAATTGTTGGGCTGTTATTTCAAAATCTTACGGATTTTTTGTTTTTCTTATTGGCTAGATTTTGACGAAGTAAAAACAAAAACCGCCCTTTTTTGTGTGGCCTACTATTACAGAAAATGACAAATTATTTAATATGTAAAAATATGTTACTTTAAAATTTAATTTTATGACACAAAATATATCCATTTTATGATTTTCAGCTATGCCTAAAAGAATCGCAAGTCCTAAAATAGCGTGTTTAGATTTTAGCCTGCAGAAAGCCAAGATGCATTTAGGTGTACAAGTTTTAATAGAAGATCCAAGCATGTTGGATGGAATCAGACAAAGGTATAAACACAAAATATTTCTGGACTCGTCCAGATTTTAATGCTGTTGTATGTTGTAATTTTATCCAACAACAATAACATTAACATGTTAGTGTAGAAAAATTAACTTAACCAACTTTACCTGTACAAAATACAAAATGACAATTTGAAAATGCTATGTTGACTTTTCTTGCAGTGTTATTTAGATGGACTTCTGTAACATTTCTTATCACGTCCATTGAGTGGGCTTAAAATTAAAGTATGAATTGGAATGACCTGCAAGTTATTTTGACAAGTAACAGAGAAGCTCTATATAATTTGAACACATCGGTTATACCTCAACACTGACTTTATCAACATGGTCAACCCGATTAAAATCTAATGAATTTGACTATTATTTTTTACCTGAATCATAGACATTTAGTCATTGTACAGTTTTTCTTATACCTTTTGTATTTTTTTTGTCAGGGAATATGATATTACCAAAGAAAGAGTTCAGAAGATTTTGGCCGCTGGTGCCAACGTTATTCTAACAACAGGTGGTATCGATGATCTCTGTCTCAAATATTTCGTAGAAGCTGGTGCCATGGCTGTCAGACGCTGTAAGAAGGCTGATTTAAAGAGAATCGCAAAAGCTACAGGAGGTATATTATTGGTATTATTTATGTTTTTAGTCCCTTTCAACAATTGTGGGGTTGGATGGCCTAATGAATGGTTAGCGCGTGCTCGTTTTATCAGGAGTAGGTTCCCCTGTCCAACCTCGTGGGTTTTCTCCGGGTCCTCTAATTTCCTCCCACTGCTAAAGACCCCTATGCACAATTATTGAAATAAAATTGAACCATATGTTAGTCCCAAAATGACATCGTTTGTACTGAGTGGACGTTAAAACCCCGTTTCTCTCTCTTTTCACCTTTCAACAATTTGATTATGTCAAACTTGAAGTCCAACTTGAAGCAAAAGTTTGTTTCCTTATTGATGCGATAGTGGTCACGGTGACTAAGTGGGTAAGACGCTTGCTCGCTAGCCTGGAGGTCGGGTGTTTGATCCCTGCATTGGCCGAGAAAGTTCATTCAGATTTTCCGTAGTGGTACCCCCTTCTGATGCAGGACAAAGGGCTGTCTAGTCGTTCGGATGGGACGAAAAACTGAGGTCCTGTGTACACATTGACATGCATGTAAAAGATCCCTTGACAGTTGGAATTCGATATAAGAGTAGGCCGTAGTGCCTCGGTCTGGGCAAAATTTCGCTCATAGCACACTGTAAGGCATCTGCCCGTCTGCATTAGCCCAGTTCGGAGTAGGACGTTGAATCCCATTTCATTTATTTATGCAATAAACATCTGTTAGTTGTTCACACATGACAATGACAAACCAGATGATGTCAACAATGGATGGATATCTATGTATTTGGCAGTGATAAGTTAATCTATGTTTAAACAGAATATAAGACTGGAACTTGTCAACTGTGAGAAATTATATAAGGCAGTTTTTAATCGAATTATAATATTTTTGTCAGTAATTACATGTTGTCATCTTGTCGTTACAGCTCAGTTTATACTTACATTGTGTAATCTAGAAGGTGAAGAAGTTTTTGACGCGTCTATGTTAGGTCATTGTGAGGAAGTGGTACAGGAAAGAATCTGTGATGATGAACTACTACTTATTAAGGGGTATGCTGCCTTTATTTAATTTATAACCAAGAAAAAAACCCATGTTATTTGTGATTACAGTCACAGACAACATGGAAAGTCTGAAGTTATGGCCATTTATAAAGTTTCCATTGCGTCAGTGAAGTGTCAAAAGGGTGTATCTAAGAATTTCTAAAGATTAAGAAATAGAACCTTTTGCATTTCAAAATTTCCACAAATCAAGATACAACATTTCGACACATGGTACCCAGAACAGTTCTAATTGGCGTAGAGATACACAGCTTAGACAGGAATCTGCGTATTAATTTGGAGATTTTAAAAATGCAAAAAAGTGTATTTGACAAATTTCCAAAGATACATTCTTTTGATACTTCACCGACGATTGGCTTCTGTAGATTTTACACCATCTTTGCGATGCTTAAATTATTTTTAAAAAAAAAAGGTGTTTTTAGATTAATGTATAAATATTTTAGGGTGGTGTGTGTTGTACCTTTTTAAATAAGTATTGAAATAAAATCCATGGAATTTGTCAATCTGTGAAGGTGTCATAATATACTTTGATCAGGAAGATATTTAATCATTATAAATATCTATTATAGACCAAAAACCCGAACAGCCGCATCATTAATTCTACGAGGAGCAAATGATTTTATGTTAGATGAGATGGAGAGATCTTTACATGATGCTTTATGTGTAGTTAAACGGGTTCTAGAATCAAAAACAGTGGTAGCTGGTGGAGGAGCTGTAGAGGCTGCACTTTCTATATACCTAGAAAACTTTGCTACATCACTCGTAAGTATTCAAGTATACTCTTTATTATCCTGCTGTCCTTCCTCGTCGTGCAGAAAAGTAGGATATTAAACCCCATTTTATTTCCTGTCATTGAGTATTGTGGTTTCGATCCCAGGCTTGTATGTGGCAAGAAGTATGATCCTCTAAGCTATACTTGTTGGTTTTCTCAAATGATTCAAGGTTTGTCATAACTATAAATATTATCCAATATGTAATAAAGATAGGCAGTAGGCATTTACAGAATCTATATCAAAGATTTGCAGCAAGGAATTTGCATTCAAATAGTGAGTTTTGTGACCAGCATAAATGTGTTTCTTCACATCATCTATGCATAATATTTTACAGGATATTGTCATTAATCCACTGTTCTTATATACATGTTCAACCAATGGGTATGTGTATTTATTTGTAAAACATGATGTTGATATAGATACATAGTTTACATGCTCGGTTGATGTTTTAATTGACTTAAAAAAATACCCAAACTGTACATGTATTTAACCGATTAGAGTTATTGGCCCTAATTGAATTGTGAATATTTTTGTTTTCAGTCGTCAAGGGAACAACTAGCTATAGCAGAGTTTGCCAGATCATTATTAGTTATACCCAAACAGTTAGCTGTAAACGCAGCACAGGACTCGACAGATCTGGTGGCTAAATTACGTGCTTTCCACAATAAATCACAAACAAAGAAAGATGAAAATGATTTACGTTGGTAAGTGGTGGTAGTCTGTTTATTATCAATTTATGCTTGACATCTGATTTATTTCCCACAATGTTTTGTTTGATAAATCTACAGTTAACAAGACTGTTTTGTATCTAACTTGTACATTTATAGCCTACTAGCCTGAACCTGGTGGGGTTTTGCTACTTCCTAATAAAATAAACTTTTTTTGGTCTTGGTTATAATTCAAACTCTTTAATTTTTGCATAATATTTATTTCAATTCATTTTGACACTGTATTGATACATTTGTGTGAAATGAAGTAGAAATGGTCAGCATCACGTCAATATGTTTAGGACAAATTTCTTGATTTCATATCGTAGGTGACATGAGTGTTATTTCAATACTTTTTTGACAATGTATTTGTACATAAGTTTATGTTATTAAATATTTATCAAAACTGTCTTGTATTATTCAGCTACAATTTTATGTATGTTTGCTTTTGAGTAATTGGTATTGAATATGCTAGTTTAATTCCTATTACCTTAAAGAATTAGTACAACTGTCTGCCACGTGACCAGCAAATGTGAAACTTTAATTCCCTTGACACATTATTTTGATGTAAACATCAGCTGTATTTATTTACAATGTATGGTAGCCTATGTGATTGTATTCATGTAAATTGCTATTATATATCATGTTCTTTGATTTCAGGATTGGGTTAGATTTATTTGAAGGAGTTGTTCGAGATAATAAGAAAGCAGGTGTATTGGAACCAGCTATGTCCAAAATCAAATCCCTTAAATTTGCGACAGAGGCAGCCATTACAATCCTACGTATAGATGACCTTATTAAATTAGTTGGAGCCGAGAAGGGTGGTATGTCGTATCAAGAGGCTTTACGGAGTGGACAATTAGATGGATAAAGTTTATATCAATTACTGCGTTATCTATCATTGTAAATTATTTAAATTTTTTGTATCTGTTCATTTCGAGCAATTGAAGCTCTGGGAGTCTTGTCACTGGAAATTAATTTTAGAAATAAATTTCATGTTGGCTAATACACTGACCATAAAACATGTGGCAAAATTTATAGGTTAAAAGATAACCAGGGAATAGTACTTATATTTAAGGACTAACGTTACATCATAAGATCTTTGCTGATATTGGCTCGATAAGACATTTATATCTATTTGCATCATATTGTGCTTACTTGTTATTTTGTATCATGCTTGTGAACAAATATCTTCATTTTGTAATTGAAATTTTTTTTTTCACAACTGAGTTTTGTTTTCTATACACCCACATTTTATTTGGTAGTATATTATTATCAATTTGTTTACCTATTCGTAAGGTTGAACACTATCGCGTTTAATATCAGTGGACAAATTTGACTCCATTTCTCTTGTTTTCAACCATTCAAACATAAATCAATCTTATTGTACAATATAGGGGTAGTGGTGTGTGACACCGGACTCAAAACAGTAATGCCCTGTCTCAATTGTGTCTCATTCAACCGGATGAAAAAAAAGGTTGTGTAGAAATTGATTGTGTAATTTTATAAAAATCCTCTGGCAATTGGAATGGGTGCCCTCGCTAAAGATAAATGGGCATAATTTATAGATGACGCCATAGAGGCAGTCCCACATCTCATTGTTTACCTTACAGCATTGTTTTCCTGTATATTCATTACGAACTGGTGTGTTGACAAGCATTAGTTTTTATACCCCCACATTGAAATGTGGTCGTATATTGTAGTCACCCCCGTCCGTCGGTCCGGCATCCACAATTGCTTGTGGACGCTCTAGAGGCTAAAGTTAATATCCGATTGACTTTAAATTTATACACAGTGTTTAAGGTCATGAAACAAAGAATCCTATTTATTTTCAGCAATTTCCGATAATTACTGCCATAGTTATGGCCCTTGATCACTTCAAAAAATATTGTGCCGCTCTAGAGGCTAGTTATCATCCGATTGACTTCAGATTGATAATTACTTCATGAGTTGTTACTCTTAATCAGATTTTAGTGATTATAAATGTTTCATTACCAAAAAAAGTAAAAGTATGCGACAACACTTGTTGACTGTTCGGAGGATTTAGCTGCTGTGGGCGTATGTTTCGTTGCCTGGCAACCTATCTTGTAATGTCTTGTTCAGTGGTTCCAAATAGGCCTCAATACCTTACATATTAATTCTTGGTATTGACGTGTTCATGAAGATCTTTATATAAAGGCTCCAATGGCAGTTTCATTTGGTAATCCACTTGATTTGTGTTGAGTACCAATGTTGAAATTTCTATCATATGCATGAAATCTGAAATAAAAGCGGAATACAAATTATTAACAGAATGCATACTATAAAAGACTTCCATTTAGAAAATTATTACTTAGTCAATCATCTTACCAAACTTTTTATGGTCATTTATTTAAGGGGATTTAATGGTAAATTTGAGATCCTTGACATGTCTACAAATTTCCTGTCTTTTGTTATTTCTGAAATTCTGTATCCTCAGAATAAAAAACCCTTGTCAACTTGTCATGCTTGAAAAAATGTCTTTTACCCTTATTCTGTTGTGAGCTGGTCAAGTAAAAAAAAAATTCCCCAAGGGAGAAAAATAGTCGGTCTCAAAATAAGTGCAGTCACTGCAGTTGGTCTCAAAATATGCATCGGCGACTGACGAAATGAATTATTGAGGTTAACAAATACAGTAATGCCAGAATAGAAGGGAAAATACTCAATATACGTGCACCCAAATTTCTTACGTTACATAGTCGGTCTGAAAATAAATGCTCACTGCAGTCGGCCTCAGACTAAATGAATTAATGAGGTAAACAATGCCAAAATAGAAGAGAAAAATTTTGTGTGAATGCGTGCACCTAAATTGCAACGGTATAGTATAAAATAACCTAGTCAACTTTCATGTTCGAAAAAAAAAAATCCCTGTTATGAGTATGTTATTCTTTGAAATTGAGAGAGCTTGTTACGAAGATTTTGATAAATTATATTATTGATTGTCATACGAATAACATTAGTCGAACAGTTGGTAAGAAGTTATTGGAAGCATAGTTTGTTTCAGAAGTACGTAAAAAGTATTTAAATTATGAAATGTTAAGGCGATCTATTGAACTTTAAGAATTTTTACTTATTGCATATTTAAAACCAATAGAAATTAAAACGTGTTTTACTCATTGTTGTAAGTATTTTCTGGCCATCAGAATTCTGCAAACCCTTTCCCCAGATTCCAAAGTCCAGTAAATGGCATTTCAGAGACCAAGTAAGCGCCTCCGTGAGACAAAGTCCCCCCAGGCCCAGTCCCCCCAAAAATTAAAAGCTTTTTTTTGGGCGCCTAAAGGCGCTCAATTCTATTGTCATTATTCTTCAACTCCTCTGTCTTATACAATCTCATCACTATCATATTCGCAGTTACAGTGAATCGCCCAGTTAGTAGTACCACTAGTGAGTGGGGCGACAGACTGTAGAATTGTTATTTCTACTCTCACAAAAACAGGCGAAATTGACGGACGGGCCTCAAGATTCTGTCCCATTTCTTATCCTCTCGTTAAGGAGAATTTGATCCCATTTGTCATGACATTGACTATAATTTTTCAAGCCCAGTCCCCAAAAATTAAAAGGACAGTTACATATCTGAAATTATTTCGCGCCTGCGCCGCTAGATTCCATTATGACATCATTCTTCCACTCCTCTGTGGTCTTATACTGCCCCAGCACTGTCATATTCACGGTTATAGTGAACTGCCCAGTTAGTAGTACCGTGGTGCTTGGGTCGTGGGGCGTCAGACTGTACAAATGTTCCGGCAAAACAGGTGGAATTGACAGTAGTCCGGTGGCTGAAAGGGGGGAGGGGAGGTCGCCACCCGAGCTGTGAATTTATGAGACCAAGTTTTTCTAGACCAGTTTTTTGCGTAGATTCCTAATCTGGGTGGTGGGGGGGGGGGCGAGATATAGGGCGTCCAATGTCTACAGGGGGGTTGGATGGCTGAAAGGTTAGCGTGCGCGCGCAGTATCATAAAGTCTGTCATTGAGTCGACTGGCGTGGTTTCGAATCCCCGGTTGTACGTGACAAGGAGTAGGGTCGCCTGTCCATCCTTGTGGGGTTTCTCCGGTTTCCTCCCACTGCTAAAAGTCCCCTATGCGCAAGCGAATTATTGAAATAAAATTAAACCATATGTTAGTCCCGAAATGACTTAGTTGTGTCGAGTGGACGTTAAACCCCATTTCTCTCTCTCTCCAATGTCTACAATTGTAGGGGGGGGGGGGGGTCATTATGTTCACATAAATGATTATCATGTTATATATTAATAAAACATAAATTTCTATGACTGTCAATCTTTAAAGAGAGAGAGAGAGAAATGGAGTTTAACGTCCACTCGACACAAACTAGGTCATTTCGGGACTAACATATGGTTTTTTTTTTTTTTTTTTAATTTTATTTCAATAATTCGCTTGCGCGTAGGGGTCTTTAGCAGTGGGAGGAAACCGGAGGACCCGGAGAAAACCCACGAGGTTGGACAGGCGACCCTACTCCTTGTCACGTACAACCGGGGATTCGAAACCACGCCAGTCGACTCTATGACAGACTTTATGATACAGCGCGCGCACGCTAACCATTCAGCCATCCACCCCCCCCCCCCAATCTTTAAAGAAGTGTGTATGATGCCCTTGGACAACTGTTTTGATTTGTGGGGTGGGGGGTAGCAGGTGAGCGTGTATGGCGGGGGGGGGGGGGTAAAATTGGCGGGAAATGATGATTTTCTTAGAGCTTGGTAAGAACATTACTTTTTAATTCCGCTGCACACCTCTATATATGGGAGTAAGATTCCCATTTTATGGGGAGGGGAGGGGTGTAATTTTGGGAACAGAAACCACTTGGTTCAAAATTAGCCAATGAAGCGGTCTGTTAGGCGAGTTCTTGGCTTCCTCTGCACAGAACTGTGGGTAAACCCCCAGAAACGTCAACGTTGATTGATTAATCAATGTCTGACGTCATAGGATCAAAAACCACTCGTATGACTCCTGACGCGACCTCCCAGTACAACTGGCCAGATCTTCATGTAGTGTAGGCCATCGGAAGTATAAGAAAAAGCAAACGAAATATACATTTGTATTTTAACCGGTTTGCTTTTTCGTTCAGTACGAATTTCGTTATTCCAAATATTAAATTATAATGTTCCTTTTCAAGAGATCTGGAAATGTACATAAAAACACAGTAAATCAGAGACATGTTTAGATATTAGTTTATTCTTAGTCTTAAGGATACATTATGGGAGATAAGATAAAGAGATGGCAGTTCTCGCTATAATAGTTAAAAACTAGATAGTGTAAAGGTAATTTGCTGAAAATTTCAAATTGATCCACTATGGGCCGAGAAAGAAGCCCGTGAAATTTTTGCATAGTCTCGGTTATCATTACTAAAATCATTAATATAAACAGCATAGTCTCGATTATCCACTTTTTCTGATTTAATTATCTTTGGCCGTTAGCGGCATATAGGAATCTAATCCAGCCTACATCGAAGGCTAGCCTTGACATCGAGAGTTTATTATGGTCTGGATAAGTTAATTAATGTGTAATTGATAATTTAGATAACATTTCAGGCCTAAAGAAAGACTTGTAATAAGCAGATTTTGCTCTTGCATAATACATGTTTAATCAGAAGATTCAAAATCAAAGTTCATAATATGAGCGGGGGGGGGGGGGGGTGGATGGCTGAATGGTTAGCGTGCGCGCGCTGTATCATAAAGTCTGTCATTGAGTCAACTGGCGTGGTTTCGAATCCCCGGTTGTACGTGGCAAGGAGTAGGGTCGCCTGTCCAACCTCGTGGGTTTTCTCCGGGTCCTCCGGTTTCCTCCCACTGCTAAAGACCCCTATGCGCATGCGAATTATCTAAATAAAATTAAACCATATGTTAGTCCCAAAATGACCTAGTTTGTGTCAAGTGGACGTTAAACCCCATTTCTCTCTCTCTCTCTCTCATAATATGAGCGGGATAGATATCTTCTGGATGGCTAATCAACAGCTCGCATGTATCCTTTGGATATGCTTCAGATACCCATTGTAAATCTTAATTCCAGCCTTATATCGCAGGATCATCTTGTTCAATCATTGATTTTGCAGTCTGTCTCAATATTGTTGCAACATAATTGGTGCGTTTAATGTGCAGCAAAAGACTACTCAGGCAAGATGGTAATAAAGAAAGAAAGGTTTGATATTTTTCATCACAATTAAAATTGTTCCAGAAAATCTTTCTTCTAGTGTCATCTGCTGATGTAAGTCGCCTTTCGCCGTACATTAGACAAACATTTGTTTCTACACCAGCAATTACGTCATTAGAAACATCATTTGTCTGTCCCAGCTCTTTAAAATTGTTTGAAAGTTGGAAATAGGAAGACAGATAGTCATTACCACTGAAAGCATGTAGGCCCAGATATTCTTGACACTTCAATACTAATCTTGATTGGATAAAAAAAATATATCAAGATTAGTATTGAAAGTGTTGAGAATATCCTAGAACCGACAACAAACCACGAGGACATTAAAATAGCTTACCTACTCCTCTTCGCATTGCAAATTAATGGAGGCGCTGAAACAAATTGTATTTTGCGTTCTCGCTTGGGGAAATAGACATCCCAATCATTCTCCTAGCAAACAGTGATCCAAATATACACATTCTGATCGATAATGAAACGGGCAAAGGTACAAAATATCGCGGAAGGCGACATACATCAGTAGACGCTAGAAGAAAGATTTTCTGGGTGAAAAAAAGAACAGACCTTTCTTTATTACCACCTTGCCGTAGTGGTCTTTTACTGCATGGCTGGAATGAAGATTTATAATGTGAATTGGTATCTGAAGCATATGCAAAGGATATATGCGAGCTGTTGGTCACCAACCAAGAAGATATTTATCCTGCTCATATTATGACCCCTGATTTTGAATCTTCTGATGAAAACTAAGAATAAACTAATATCTAAACATGTGTCTGATTTACTGTGTTTTTGATTTACATTTCCAGATCTCTTGAAAGGTACCTTTATAAATTAATATATTGAATGACGAAATAGGTACTGAACGAAAAGGCTATCGAGAAACCACTTTTAAGCTTGTAAGGTCAATTTTGAACCAAACGATTTCAGGCCACAAAAACACATGTCTCATAAATTCACAGCTCGGTTGGCGATTCCCCCCACCCCCCTTCAGCCAACGGACTACAGGCGCAGATTTCGAGATTCTGTCCCATTGCCTCCTATTTCTGGTTCTCTTGTTCACAAGAATTTGCTCCCAGCAATGACCTCAAGTGCCAGGATATTGGTTTAATTTTTCAAAATTTTCTCCGGTTGCTTAGTGTTATAGCCACTGCCCCTAAGGTTCACATAAATTTAATTACAAAATCAATAACAATCATCATATTATATGACATATACTTTATGTCAACTTGAATAAAACTGCTCTCAGACGAGATAAAGATCGGCGAACAACTATAGGCAATACGATCTATGTTCTACCGAAACGCCCA